CAGATGCAGATGCAGATGCAGATGCAGATACAGATACAGATACAGATACAGATACACTATTTACACTTTGTATCATAGTGCTATTCTCAGATACATTGATAGATAGATCTTCAGATTATTATGCAAACTATCAAGAGATTCACTTGGCAAACATCAATTTCCTAGTACATATTTGACTATGCTTTATGGTTATGTATTATGCAGTCGTAAGCGCCCAGCCAAAACGTTCTTAATTGCGTTTTTTGTTTAGCTTTTATGTTGCTTGTGTAATGTGAGCTAAATGTAAATACATATGTCGAATGAAAGCATAACACACTCCTATATATATATATATATATTTATATGCAGCATAAAAGCAGCTGCCAAAAAAAAAAAGAAACCAGAAAATAGTTTATGGTAAAGAGGCTTTGCTGTCATGGCAAGTCGAACACATGTCTGTTCGTCTGTCTGTCTGTCAGTCAGTCTGGCTGCCTGTTGTAGAAAACTACTATTTGGGTCACTCGCAGACATATAACAGACATATCACAGTTATGCGCAAATCAATTTCATTGGAAATTTTAATGTTTTTTCTAATTAATTTCAGGCATAAACCAATATTTAAATAACAGCCATCTAACAGTCACAAATGAAACATTTCAATTGAATTACAAAAGAAATGCTTAATAAATTAATAATTTTCAATGTATTTTTCAATTCAATTTTCAATTATGTAAATGCCATTAAAAATCCAAAACACAATCCAAGCCACAAATGTAAATGTAACAAAACACCAAATCCAATTTAAACAACTAAAAACTGAAAACTGTAAACTGAAAACTACAAAAAAACAGTAACAATAACAATAACAATTGCATTAAGTGGCGCAGCTAGGGCGAAGTGGTATAAAGAACAACGAGCTCAAATGCAGTTTGTGAAATGTGTTTTAGTTAAGGCAAATTCCACGCAGGAATTCACGAATACAAAATGCGTTTAAGTGCAACGACAGCAGCAGCAACAACAACACGCATTAAAACCCAAACGAAACAACAAACGCTTCAAGCGGCAACCACAGCAACAACAACAACAACAACAACAGCAACAACAACGACAGCGATAACAACAACTAGTGCGACAACACGCCAAACTGAATGTTTCATTTGCAATTTAATACAATTATTTATACTAACAACAAGCATCGTTTGCACCGCTAGTGCCATGGGCAGTGGTTTGCTGCAGGCCCAGGCTATGGCCCTGACCCACGGCCAGCCCGCTCGCCTTCGCTTGGAGGAGTTGCCCACAGACTACGATTCCTCGATGCTGGCTGCGGCTGCTGTCAGTGCGGAGGCAGCAATAGTTGCTGCTGCAGTTGCAACAATGACAACAGCTGGATTTCAATTAAGCACACACACACCCGCACACACCATACAGCTGGCAACCACGTTACGTGTTGGCTACGGTAAGCAACATATACCAACTCTATTTCTGTGGCCATCCATAGATTGTCAACTGCTAATTGCGCCACCGACCACCTGCAAAGCTACCTCCTGTAGTGTAGTGTACATACATATTTATGGGAACGAGCGGCATGTGATAGCAGGTTTATTTAGTCGGAGGCATCAGCTTTCTAAACTTTAAACTGCTGGGAATACCCTTGTCATTTTGCACAAGATATTCTCCTCTTTCCAGCTTCAGTTGCTGGCTATGCATAGAATATCACTAAACTAGAAAATGGGAAAGCTTTTACGCTTGGAGCATATCAATACAGTTTTCCATTTTCCAAATTGAAGCGTCAATTACTAATTGATGAGCAGAAAACTCTTTAAAGTTCAGCATATCCTACTTTGCTTGGGTAAGCAGATTTTAAATGCCAAAAATATATGAAGAAGTAATAAGGATATTATTCGATAGCTCATAGCATAACTCTAGTTGAATTCAGTGTATTATCCAAGACTTGCAGTCAGCCTTTGCCACAGCAAGTCAATTCCCCATAATCCCCATTGAGGCATTTGAATTACTTTATGAGCCAGCGAAGTGAAAGAATTAAATTGTAAGAGCCATGCATGTTGGAGCACTCTCATCATACTCACAATGCATATTGCAATAAAATCGCTTTCAATTGGCAACCTGAGGGTGGCTTTATTATTTTTTCGTGCCAGATAGAAGGGATTTGGAATCCACAGTTTGCAGTTGTATACAATCTAGTTCTGAAGAGTCAGAGTACCTCAGTCAAACAATCAAATAAAACAACAACTAACGACCCATTTACAATACAAAGTAGATCGACATTAATCAGTGTTACAGCTGAATGCTTCATTTACCACAGACACACTTCAGTCTAGACTTCAGCTTGTGCTTCAATTCAATTTCAGACTCTTTTGTATTAACAATAGACTGAGTGCTAAATAAAAAATGTAATTAATATACAAGTTCGATCAATTCTGTTTAATTAAGATTATAGTGATTGTCAGATTCAGTCCAACAATAATTTAAGTGCTTAAGAAAAATGAAAATATGCACATAAATTAATTTTAAAGAATTCTGTTTGATTCAGGTTTATAAACGTTTCATAGCAACTATTAACACTCACCTAGGCACTTACTCCAGCCTAATTAAACTACAAACTCAAATCCTTTATCATCGGCTAATTGCTAACAAGCTGCCACGCCCCCACTACTCAACTCTCAACCAACTATGGCATAGTTAAGGCATACTTGAAACTTTAGTCTATCGAAACCAAAACTTTGCGTCAGGTTTTGCTGCAATAATGAATCTTTAATGAATCCGAAGAGCGTATAACACGTAGCATACTTTTAAGAGCTCCAATTTTTCTCGCTTAAATAGAACAAACACCTGCTGCAAGCAGTTAGCAATTGTTACCAGATTCTATTATATGTTCCCCGGCTATTATGTGTTAAACACGCATCATAAATAAAGGAGGCAAGACACAACCTGACCTGAACTAAAGCAAGATCATTGACGTGTAGCCTGTTATTTATAGAGTCATTAATCTCTAAAGTAATTTTTTGAAAGCTTACGAAATACTCGAAATCGTAGCCAGCTTTAACCTAACACGAACACAGTTGACCCCCCACGAAAAAGCAGAGAAAACAAAAAATAAAATAAAATAGAAAAAGAAAACGTTCCCGTCAATGCTGAAACTTTATTACAACATATTAATCAAGTCTCAGTTAGATGCAGAAACAAAGATATGAGTGGGCGTGACGAAAACTAAATACCCTGAATAGAAACAAATTGCTGAGAATTAGAAAGCTTTTGTTAAGTGCTCTAGAGAAGGAAAAGAAGATCAAGAGTAGGGAATTAGCATTACAGAAAGGTGGGATAAAATACTTTGGCAGTTGAGTTTTTAGACTAAAAATTTGTATGGAATATTATTGTATAGATCTCATATGACATATATGATCTCATTCTGTATAGACATGAAGCAAATTTTAAGTAAGATAAACTAATGTAGAAAATTTAAAAGGCTTACATATAAATGGGATTTTAAAAATAACAGGAAATCTTTATATGGTAGAAAAGGTAGAATAGGTATATGAAAAGATATTTTCTATAACTACTCAAGTATCATACTATTTGTCTAGGATATTCCTAGATTGTATATCAAAATCTCACACACAAATAATTTCTTTATATAAAAAAATATAACTCCAATTTGATAAACAATTAAGTGTAAAGCACTAAAAAGATCTATCGTACTACATATATAGATAAATATACTATATACTAAATCACCCCACTCAATACGCTCAAAATTGGCAGACGGCTTAAAGCTGTCACAACAATGCGGCCAAAAGAGAGCGTGTAATTTGTTCATCTAACTAGTTGGCCAAATGTCCTTAAACTCAATTTTGCTTGTCTTTCATTATGCGACATAGATTCCAATGAAATCGATAATTCCTATGCCGCTGCGGGAGCAGCTGGTGCCACTGTTGAGGCTGATATTGGCTTTGATGCCGATGCTGATGACGTTGAAAAGTCGGCCGAGGATTACGTCATGGCCATGGAACAGGGCCAGGAGTCGCAGGCGGAGACGGAGACGGAGACGGAACAGCGGCACTGGCAAAATACAACAAATGAGAAACAAAATGAGGGAGCAGAGCCGAAAACGGCAACGGCAGCCACGCCGGCCGCAGCATCCATTGGCAGACAACTAATGAATGCAAAAACACAAGATTTATTGTCCTTATCGCAGCTTAGTTCATACCAAACATCAACAGCGAGAGCCCCAGCGGCCGTTGGGGCTGCAGCGCAGCGCGAAAAGAACGCACCAAGCCAGAAGAATGCCATCAGCATGGGTGGCGCCACATCTGGTGGTGCCACATTTCAACAAATTGGCTCACAACGCGTCAATGGAAACGCTCCAGCAACAGCCACGCCCACAGCAACTACTAATGCAGAGAGCCAACAGGTCGCTACAACCCCAGCGGCAACCCTAGCCACAGCGACCGGAACGAATAAGACCCATGTGCGCACCTCGGCCAGGAAGGTCGAGAGCAAATACATCTTGCCCAAGCAGCAGAAAACCGATGCACCAATGCTCAACTATATCTTTGATACGCACTCTGCAGCTAACAAACATCATCATCACGATCAGAGGTGGGTTTTGCGTAATGTATAACACCATTAAGAGAGCTGAGGCAGAAAAAACAAGAAAGTCATTAATATTACTTGATTTAATTCCTTTGAGTTTTTGAAGTCTGGAAAGTTTTCTTAAGGCTTTTTTCTAAAGAACTTGCCGAAATTTATTTCTATATATACCGAATAATATATTATGGCCATATTAGTATGTTTTATTTAATTTTGATGAAGGTTCGTTTGAATTAAAACAAATCTTAAATTCATTTAGGTTTATATACAAATATCCATCATATTTGCATCTAAAGTAAACTAAATATAACTATTCTTTGAAAAGTGCATTATTTTTATGCTCCAATTGATTTTATATAACCATATGATTTTTCGTAATCTACAAAACAAAAAAATTATACCTGACTTTCTATATTCTAAAAGTTTTTCCATTGAGCCCTATTAGGCAAACTTTTAAATTATAGGATATAGTTTTTATAGTTTACTCTAATTACACCGCAAATCTATAATTTGCTTAATAGTTTAACTGTAAATAGACTTTATGCAATAGTTCAAACCATATAATTGTGGCACACCCAGCCTCGATGCTCCAGCCACCCACTCACCCACTGACGAGCAGTAGTTTACTGAAGGCCGTTTGGTTTGCTGTGTAAAACATTTTGAAAACTTAAGTTTTTAAGACTCTCGCTACGAGCAATAAACATTAAGCATAAGGACGCACAGACCAACGTGAGCATGTGTGTGTGTAGGCTTACTTACACACACCTGCTGACCAATAAAAATGCACACTATATATATACATACATACATATATGTACGTACATGTGTTTACCATTTACTTACATCACATATGCTCGGTTTCCTTACAGATATGGGCCCCATTTCGAGGACGTGCAACGCGTCGGACAACCAACAAATATGACTGTTCAGGCGGGTAGCAGCATTCATTTAAATTGCAGAATTTCATTGCTGCAAGATAAGACTGTAAGCATAGCTACTTACTATAAACTCGTCTAGCTTTACGAAACAAGTTTAAGGCTCTGAGATATGTCAAATGGAGCAGTGCTACTTATAAATTTATGACAACATGCGAGAATATACGATAAAACTTGCAGTTACTTAAGCTTACCAAGTTGTGTAAGAAAAAGCAGAAGCTTAAATTCCATGCGAATCACATAGAAGGGCAGTAGATATAAAATTTGAAAATAAAAGCGCACATAACTGGGAACATATTGAGCAAATTGCGTTTGAAAGTGAAATAGTCAGAGAGAAAATAGATAAGAGAAAAAAGAAACCAAAGAGAGATATAGACAGAAATGGAGAGAAGTGAGAAAAGACAGAATAAGTGAGAAAGACCTTATAGGGAGAGAAAGTGAAAGTATTACAGAGCGAGGAAGAGGGAGTAAGAGAGACAGAAAGAATAAAAAATAAAGAGGAGAATAGAGCGAGAGACACAGAGAACCGATGATTGAACTGACTCAATAATCCTCATAATGTATGTATGTATGTACACAATAATTCAATGCCTCAATAATTCGTACCTCCATGCAATTCTCATAAATAATGTAAGCTTAAGTAGCCAGTAAAGCAATAGAATGAATGCGTTTATAGACAACGAATTACAAGAAAATTACCCTTGACAGGTCTCCTGGGTGCGTCGCAGTGCGCAGAATGAGGAGAATGCTCTGGACTTGCTAACTGTGGGCCTGAACGCCTACACCGGTGATAAGCGCTATAAGATGGAATTTCAATATCCCAACAATTGGCGTCTGAAAATCATAAATGTCAAAAAAGACGATGAGGCGACATACGAATGCCAGATCTCAACACATCCGCCCCGCGTTATCCAAATTAATTTGCATGTAAATGGTAAGCAATACAAAGAAACAAATGAAAATTTATTTGATTTTAATATTGATACTTGTTTCGCAGCTCCGAAGGTGATGATTGTGGACGAGTACGGAGATCCATTGCAGGAGAAATACTATGAAATAGATTCCACACTGCAGCTGTCCTGTGTGGTGCGCAATGTGGCAATGACCAGCTCCGTTGTATATTGGAAACATAGCGATAATGTGCTCAACTATGATGTAACACGGGGTGGAGTTAGGTAGCTATCGAATAAATATCGTAACTTGCCCATATATCATGTGAAGCGCCTCTATTCCTAGTGTTAAAACTGAACTGATGGAAGATGGGGCAAATTCCACTTTATCTATCGCTAAGATTCATAAGGCCGACTCGGGCAATTACACCTGCTCCATTAGCGAATATCAAAATTTTACCATAGTGGTGCACATACTAAATGGTAAGCATAGATGACTGTATAAATTAAATAAAACTTTGTTATACTCTTACACCCCACCTAGGCGAAAGTTTCGCCGAGCTGCATCATGGTGGTGCCGGTGGTGCGCATGCCAACTGGCAATATATAATTGGACTGTATTTCCTACTGCTGCTGCGCTGGATCGCCAGCACAACCGTGTTTACATCCAGGTAAAGTTAACAAAGCCGCCTAACTATACATACATAGATACATATATATGGTATATATGTGTTATATATAAATAAATGAATGAACATGATATAGACATAAATTGTTCACCTGGTAGTCTTCTTATGTACATTTTTGTTAATTAATTGTAAAGATTTTTGGATAGTCAAACACATAGCGAGAAGTTATTAGAAATAACTAAAAACTAAGTTTAATTTAAAACGAAATAAGTTCAAATAAATAAACTGAATTGTTGTTATAAGCAAGTATACCATAAGTGAATGCCTATTAAAATGATGAAATGTACTCATTTATTCGTTTGATATTCGTTAGCATCGATTTGTACATGTAAAAGCGCACATAAATTTAATATTACTAAATAAGCCAACGATTTGCGTGTGGCGCAAATGATGCCAACGAATTTCGAAGCCGCATATGATAAAATAAAAAGCAAAATAAACACAAATCAAATAAATAAATAAAATACAGGAATGTAAGATAACATGATGATGAATGCAAAAGGATTGAATGCGGTCTGGGCAACTATAAATAACGTACGTGCATATTGTAAGTCCCAATATCCGCACACATACATAGTACTATTCAAAGGATACCACAGCATAAACATGTGTAATTTAATGCTTACAATATCTAGGACATAAGCCGTCATATGATTAATAAATATAAAATTACCCAATGATTAGGAAACGAGTTTCTTATTTTCTGTATATCAAATGCGGTAAGTTTTTTAATTTAATTTTAAAATCTCAACCATATTTAAGGAATTGCTTTACAGCTTTAACGTAACACTTTCAGTGCTAATAGCATTATAAATAAATGTATTATCGATAGGCTTATATTGTTTCGTAATTATCTTGATCACCTCCTGCGCAGCACAGCCGCCTGTAAGCAAAATCAAGTTGATTAATAAATTGAACAGATTATCTACTAAACCATTTGATTTACCAATAAAAGCGGACACAGCATGCAGCTCGGCGCCGCCGTAGCGGCATATTTCGTGTAACACATCATCGCTGATAGTCACATGCAAGCCCAAGTCGTTGAGCATTTTGCTGGTGATGCTCTTTAGGCGCACAATATCCTGTTCCACGGAGCACTCACCGGGTATGCTGCCGCACTCGCTTAGGAAACGCTCATATGCCCTCAGAGCGAAATTGTAGGCGGTCAAAGTACCCTGCAGCTCATTATCCTCCACTGCAAAGCAATACAATACAGTGCTAAAGGCAACGATGTGTTTGTGCTATAGCTTGCAAATAACAGTTGAGCGCTTGAGAGACTACGCTTCTGCTCGTGCTTAACTTGCTTTACATGATCATCGGTTAGGAATACTCTCGCATACAATACATACACGAAAGACTTTAAACTCGTCGTTTTTTGCTCAGCGACTTCATTGCAGGCATCGAGAAACGATCAACAGTTATTTACGAGCTATGCTTTTTACTATAAAAACACCTACCCAGTGGTAGCAGACGACAGTTCTTATACTCATACTCATCGGCAATGCGGGTGCCACGAAGCACAGACAATCCTGCAGCCTCACGACATAGCAAACGTACAGTGCGATCGTCTATGGTGTCCGCTGGCAGAGACAACTGCCTCAGATATTCCTGGCATTTGTGGTACACTTGATCGGCATCATGCAGCGCCTGTTGGTGATAGATTTGCTGCAATGCTATATATGAGTCTGTGTTGGCCGTCATATCGGGCAAGACGCCTGGCAGGGGTAGATAACCCTTGTTTTCCTCCACTACAAAATGCTTCAGTGCCTTGGCCATTATCCAAAAGACATCGTTCTGTTACGAAAGCGAGATTACTATTATTTACTGTGAGCCAATGAAGATTGGGTGGTTTACCTTTTTGTGTAACTGCTCACAGGCATCGTCCTCGAATATGGCCTTGAGGTTGCTTGGCACCATTCCAGCCCCAAATGCAGTATTAACTGCCTTTATAGCCTCTTCGTAGTTCTCCTCATCTTTTTGCATGTCTGCTTTGATTGCATCGCGCAGTTGAGTCTTCTCCTTGTAACTCCCTGGTGCAAGTCTCCCAGCTCCGTGCTCTTTCTGCCAAGCTTTTAGATATTTGTACAGCACAAGAAGCCAGGGCACTTTACTCGTAACCTCTGTTGATTCCAAATGATCACGCAATGCTTGAAATGGCTGCTCTAAGCGTAAATCAAACTGACGATTATCGGGATGAGTTTCTACGATGCAGTGCTCCTTAATTTGCAGACGTATAGAGCCCAGCATTCCAAGTGAGCGACAATAGACAAGTGGCACATTGGAGTCCCACAATCGGTTTGCGAGCTGTAACAGTGACTGTTCGTTAAGATTCGAGGCAATCACCAAGTCGAAACTGTCAAAGAAATTTGGACGGTTTGCCAAAATATAGTCAACGCTCTCGTCTACATAATCTCCAATCACATCTGGGTTGAGCTCCTGTAGCAGCTGTTTGCAAGCAAATGCTTTAGATTTTCCGAGGAAGGTATTATCTAGAAAAAAGCTATTCTCCAGCTATAAAATACTCCACAGAATGAAAATCTACCGCTGCCTTACTTATTGCCCAAGTCTTCTTCCTTGACAGTGCTGCCATCGACCACAGTGAAGCCTCCAACGCCCGGCAAGACGAGTCCCTTTGCTGTCTCACAGCCGACAGCCGTCACGTTGACCACGCAAATTGTAGCTGCTTCTAGTAATGCCTGCCCGTGATCGCCCCACAGTCTGTTGATGCCATGTTATAATCAACCAAAAATCACTTTGTTTAGGAACTTTAAAAGACTTACCTAATTTGTCTATCATATTTCTTGCTTTTATCTGACAATTCAGGTGACTTCGGAGGTGCAGGCGAAGACATTTTTCAAGCCGGTAGCAAAGAAATATTTGCAAGTGTTTGAAAACACTACGATTCGCAATCGTAGCTATCGATAAAAAGAAGCAAACAAGAAACGCAGAAAGACTCACGAATTTGATTTAAAAAATATTTATTCAATCATACATATTACATTTCACATCCTTTACATCTTTTTTGTTTTCACATTAAAATTTATTACGTTCCAATTATTTATCTTAATTTACTACATACAAGAAATCAGTCTTTACAAACAAATTGTATTAACTTATAGTTTTGTTGTTTTCGCATATCGGCAAAAATAATACCATGTTGTGAGCAAAACAATATATGTTTCGGGGACGTAATTATTAATTTAATTTTCTATTGTTGAAAGTCCTCTTGAAGGTTGCTTACTCAAGTCGATAAATTATTTGTATAATACCGCATCTCTATTTTATTTGATAGCAATGACTGCAGCTCGCTTTCCAACACTTGCTCCGATAGGGCACATATGTTTTACAATTACGCTTTGGTACATCATTCGCGTTGTAATTTCACAACGTCTTGCGTTTGTTAGCTGGCTACATTTTTAGCTAGTAAAACGAAGCAGCATTTAACTAAATACAAATTAATATTATGACCGAGAGAATGCCAGCCAGGAGAAGCACTGCCAAAGCGTCAACCAGCACCGGCAATGCGACAGCGAATGAACAGATGCAGGATCCCGCGTACAAGTTGAAAAGAAAAAAGAATAATGAGGTAAATGTAAATACAATGTACAACAATGTTGCTAGCCTAGATATGCGACCCCAAAATAGCATCTCAAAAAGTGTTGCACTCTGTTTAGTGTCTGTGATTTATATTTTTTAGGCTGTGCAGCGCACGCGTGAGAAAACTAAGAAAACTGCCGAGGAACGCAAAGGGCGGATCAATGCCTTAAAAAAAGAGAATATAGAGCTGGTGACCAAAATCGAGGCTGAGAAGGAAAAAATTAATATTCTTCGGAATGTGATAATGCAAGGCAAAAATAAGGAAGAACAGCATCAACTAATCAATGAGATTTTAAATTCCCCTGAAGAGGACAACGACGACGATTTGGCGACATCACCCAATCGAAATGACTAACGAACAATTAATCTTAATTTACCTAATACTATTTACATATTTTTAGATTATTCCCTTTACTAACCGTCATAGACGTCGAGCTTTTCCATGTGCAGTGAAAAAACCTCATCCATTTTTCCGTTGTTCAATTTAATAAACCAACGTTAAATGTAAAGCAAAAGTTCTTTTACTTTTTTTGTTGTTGTTTGTGCCAGTATCCCGTTACAATTGGTTGTTCAGTCTTTCGCTCTTTGTTGTAGTTGTGCCAGTTTGGGTCACTTCCGCCTTCTCACTGGTGGGCATTGATTTATTGCACTTTTTATGTAAATGTTGGTATACGTTAGTTTGAGTATGCACGAATTTACGAAGCGTATGTTTTGTATATACATTTAATTTTGATTTTTGAATTTAAAAAATTTTATGTGGAACTATAACATTTAATTAATATCTCCCGGCTCGATTTGACAGCAAATAGTACATGATTGTTGCTAGAGGAACGTCACATGCTAAACTCGCAATGCCAAATACATAGCTAGCTCTGGATTTCAATTAAATAACAAGTTTAATTGACGATGAGTGTACGACTAGAACGAATTCTGTGCTTTTGTAATCGCACGGCTGGCCATGTCATTCACTTTTTTTGCTTATTAGTCCATTTATATTTCACGTAACTTGTTTTTGTTAGTTTGTTGTTGCCCTGTTTACAGACTTAGATGAGCGACAGCTGTTACTTAACAGTTGACTTAACAGTATTCATAACGTTCATGTTTTCTAACCAGTTTAGCATTTAATAATCAAAAGATTAAAGTGTAAGATAAATATTTTTATCTGTTGATTATATATAAAAGGATTTGGATTATTTTATTTATTTATTATTATTATTATTATTATTTTTTTTTTTTTTTGAGTGCTGAAAAACTCTATATGAACTCTGATTAGGGTTGCATTGAAAGAATTGTCGATAAATTGTAAGACGTGCGCAGTCAAAACTCATTTAAAAATATTCAAATTTTGTAATTCTTTTGTTTACTCTATTTTATAATATGCAACCAAATTTGTCACAGTAAAAAATGCTGCTACCGTTAAACGATTTTGTTCAAAAACTTCACTCAAACTCAAATATTTATCTGCTAAAACGAAAGATTGCAGAGAATGGAACAAAAACACAAACCCAGCTCTTTCAAGTCTTCCGATTCCGGATTGAAGATACAAGAAGTGCCAACGTCAAGGCTCAGTAGAGATATACCTAAAGCGCCTACCGATGACGCAAAGGAAGCCCCTATAAAAAAAGGCACCGTAGTCCAATCAAATCATAAATCAAAAGGTATTCGTGGCTTTTTTAAATTTGGATCGAACAACAAATCAAAAGGACAGTCAAATAAAAAACAAATTGATCAGCCCAGTACTCCTCTAAGTGACGACGATACACGCCGAATGATTGGTCTATATTCGAAATACGAAAATCTCTATAATCGCCACAACTCACAATATGGCAACAAGCAAATCGAGAATATATATTATTCGGACATAGCGCGTTCGTTTAAAAACCAAACTGGGCCACAGATTGAAGCTATGATTACGGAGCTGCGCACAAAATTTGAACGTGAATACGCCTTGATTGAGGATGCGCGTCTCAACTACGGTGACATTTTGATGCCCACAATTAAATACTACAATGAGTTTCTATTTCTAGTGCCTTTCATCAGTACGAGCAGGGAGGAAGCTGAGGACGAAGGCAAGGATGTATCCTCCGTTGCCACGCCAAGTAGCCAAGTACTCTCGACCTCAGAGCTGGCGCCGTACAGCATCGCTAGTCTGCGAAATAAGTGCGCTTCAACTGTGCAAGGATCACAATTTTTGGGAATGAAAACCAAAAATATAGAAAATATGTTATTGCCAAATAGCGTACAAAAATCAATGAAACCTAAAAGAAAGACATGCAATTGGAGAGGCAAACAGAACGCAGACGAAGACAGATCGAAGAAATATTCCGAATCACAAAAGAAAAGCGATGCAGAAGCCGAAGAGGTTGAAAAATCGAAAGCACTGATGCTAGATAAATCCAAAAACGAAACGGAATCGGTGAGGATAGAGAAATCAAGAAGTGATACGGTATTAAATAAAAAATACAGCAAATCTGAGCATTCAAGCGCGGTATTTCAGAATCCGGCTCCAGCTGAGAAGCAACTAGCAACTGTTCAAATACAAACATCCGAATCGGAACTACAAAGAGCTGGCAATGGTGGCCAGTTACATAGCAATCTCTGCAACAGAAATCAGCAACCGAAATGCATTGCCATCCTCAACAGGCCAGGTTTCATTAATGGACTTCCCCGACCACGCAGCAGTCAGGATCAGCGCAGTGGATCATCCAAGAATAATGGCCATCAGCTGGAAATGCTATGCGAATTGATTAGAACTGAGCTCAGCACAGCTCCAGATTGCATTTACTTCGATGCTAAGTGGCGTATCATTGAAATTTTACGTGAGGTAAACAAACGGCAAATGATCTACAAAAGGGGCGAGCCATCGCAAAATCAATGCCGTAAGACTGACATCGAAGCCTATTACAACATTTGTAATACCAGTAAAAACAGTTCACATCATTCCCAACACTTGCGAAACTCGAGCAACAGTTGTCCATACTGTGCAAAGGGAGTCAACCGCTAAATTCGCAAGTTGAATATCTTATCAGTCGCTGAGCAGTCCGACTCGGCCATGACCAAGTTTAATTAGATAAGCGAGAGTTTCTATCGCTTCGCAGTTCTTCGACAGCTGTAAGGCGAGATGGAAGCATTTTTAAGCAGCTCAAAGTTGTTCAAGCATTGGCCGAGCATTCTTCTAGGTTTTCTCATCGCAATGGCCATTAAATACATAAATGTTTACCGAAGGCGACAGGCGGAAAAGTTGGCGGGGGAAGAGCATATTGCAGGTAGGAGATACATTTACATATATAAAATATCTAAGTTACACAATTTAATTTCTATTTTATAGTCGAATTCGCGATGACAGATGCTGATATCAAGCCTGCTTTGGAAGAGAAACCACATGTGCCGTATGCTCCTGGGCAGAATCTCAATCCGAATGGTGCCAGACGTTTCTACGAGCTGATGAATGATCGTCGCAGTGTGCGTGCATTTAAAGCCAATTGTAAACCGTCTATAGACATATTGGAATATTGCATTCGCTCTGCTGGAACGTCACCAAGTGGAGCACACACCGAGCCCTGGACATTCTGCGTGATTGAAGATATGAAAGTGAAGCAAGCTGTGCGGGAGATTGTAGAGCGCGAAGAGCATATTAACTACAGCACACGAATGCACGCACAGTGGGTGACGGATTTACGGCCTTTGCAGACAAACGCAATTAAGCCATATTTGACGGATGCGCCCTATCTGATTTTAATATTTAAGCAAACGTACGGCACAACGGTCGATGGTCGTAAGAAGTTGCATTACTACAATGAGATATCAACGTCCATTGCAGCCGGAATACTATTATGTGCTCTCCAGGCAGCTGGGCTCTGTTCGCTGGTCACCACGCCCCTTAATTGTGGTCCGGCCCTGAGGCGCTTACTCGATCGTCCCAATAATGAAAAATTATTAATTCTGCTTGCTGTCGGTTATGCGGCGGACGACTGCAGTGTGCCAGATTTAAAACGGAAAAGATTACAGGACATCATGGTTAAATATTAATAACATTATACCTTTAAAAATTACAGTAAACAAATGCAAAAGCAGTTTCGTACATTATTAATTGTAGTGTTAACAGAGGCACAACATCGCCATTTGTGGTGGCTTGTCGATAGACGCTAGAAACCTATTGAACTTGGTTCAATAGGTAAGTGTTATTTCTCAGCTGATTTGCTGTGAAATGTTACAGAGGAATCCTATCGTTCGATATACATTTGGGCATAATATTATTTTCTTAAATTTAATTAAAATTGTGTAAGTAGTTTTGGTTCATTTAGTCTTATAAAAGTTCATTTTATTTATTTGTTATAACGACCAGAAAATGGTTATTAACATATGTGCGAGCCCAATTGGTCAAGTGGTATATCGATATACAGGAAACGTAGAGGAATATCGATTACAGCGCATACCATTTCATTTTATAAATAACTTCAATGTGTTCGGTCGCGCTGTCGGGAAATTATCGAAATTACCAAAGATTCCAATGAGTTATTAAGTAAATATATCAATATACTTGTAGTCTTATACATTTGCAGCCCATTGTGAAAAAAGCAGGCTGCAATTTTTTGATATATTATAATAAACGTGTGCTTTATTGTCGATGCAACAGCAAATAAGTGGCAAAGAATGAGAGCGCAAAGCAGATGGCAAAGAGCGTCACGCCGCATTGGTGTTAGTTTTGTGTGCGTGTGTGTATGTCAAGAAGAAAGCGGCGGTAAAAACTTGTAAAAATCCATTCTTATACATATATATATTTAAATATAAAAATTAATCTCAATATTAGCTCCGCTAAATACGATTTCATCGTAAAAAGAATTTTTGAATAAGTAAGCCCTATTGCATAGCAGAATCTGCAAGTCAAAACAAAACAACCGTGAAACGTAGCCGAAAAACGCCTGCCTGTTTGTATGCGTGATTGTGTGTGCGAGCGTAATAAGAAAGACCAACAGCAAAAAGGCAAAAGAAAAATAGTGCATACGAAGAGCAGGCGCAAAACGCAATTGATGAAATTTGTGATTATCACAAATTTGTATTAACAAATGGTTGAATAATATATAAGTCTGGGCTTTAAAACTCCTGTGTAAAAAATAAAACTACATAAAACGGCAACGTATGCACATTTAAAAAAAAAAAAAGAGGTTGGCATCTTAAATATCTAAGTGGAAGTGTAATTGTGCTTAGTTGATGTAGCCGACAAATTTGCGCCTTTTATTACTCTGAGGTGAGTAAATTTTTAAAAAAGAGTTTTGTCGGAACTTGTGTTCAAACTGTACTAGAGATGCGCGCGTGATACGTGTGTACGTATGAAATGTAATACACTAGTTGAATAAATACATTAAATGTAATAAAATTCACCCATCCAATTTTCATATCGTAGTATACAACGCACAATAATATCTAGTGAGCTGAGTTCTTCAATATACACTCATCAATAAATAAAAGGAAACCAAAAAAAATTTATTTCTGTTCGTGCTTCAAATTTGTGTTGACACGCGCCCATCTCTAGTCCAAACTGTACCATATTGTTGACTGACTGACTCGTGCGAGAAAGAAAGACAAAGAGAGAGAGAGAGAGAGAAAGATAGAGAGTGAGCGTAATAATATTCGCGTACACTTAGCAGTTCCCCCTCTCTTTCACTTCTTAAGCATCATGATAATCAGCTGCTGCTACAAATTGCCCTAAACTGTTATTATCACAAATAGCATCCACAACTTAGAGAGAGCAAAGCGGAGCACTCACTTTACTCAAAATGAGTCGCCTACAAAAGCAACAATCACAACAACATCCACAACGCAACCAGTGTGAATTAGTGAGCAGCAGCACAAGCGGCGCTAAGAGCAGACGTAAACAGCCGCCGCTGAATGCGCTCGAGGATAGCGCTCAAATGGCGCGGCCAGCACAGCTCAGCAATGGGCACATATCGACGAATGGAAACAGTAAGTCGACGTCGACAATGACCAATAAACGACGACGTCAAAGCGACGATGAGCCTTTGCAACAGTTGACTAATGGAAGCAGTAGCAAAAATGTAAAATTGAAGCAATCAAACAATGCCATGGAGACAACAAGCAGCAGCTCGGGGTCCTCCAGTGAGCCACGGCACAACAACAACGGCAAAGCTGTTAATCATAATAACAACAACAATAATAATAATAACAATAAGAAACAGAATAACAATGTGAGCAACACGAATGGCAAGCAATACAACTCTTTCAACAACAATAAGAAAAAGAAGCAGACCGTAAATACCAATACAAAAACAACAGCAACAACAAATGCTCCAATGGAATACAGCTACCGTAATAACATATCCACCATACCAACGCCGCCTTCACCAGCCTCACCGGCCTCGCCGCCGCCCCAAAATACAGTATCGGACGTTGTGTGTATTTCGGATGCGGAGAGTGACGAGAATGATTGCACGGAATACTACGACCACGAAACGGAGGAGGATAGCGACCTGGAAATCGATGAATCGCCCACCACTAGCAATAGCAAACATCAATCCAATCACAATAACAATGCAGCGGCAGCGGCTGCAGCAGCGGCGGCGGCAGCAGCAGCAGCCGCCACTACACCACCCACAACGTATACAATGCCCACAAGCAACAGCACGCCATTGGATCTGGAAAATGAGGCACATCAGCGGGACCTGGAGATCGTGACCGACCTGCGCTCATATGGTGAGTAAATACATATGTATCAGTCTAGACAAACTTTGGGGGAGTTAGGATGGGTAGTTGGTGTTGGCAGTGACGTCGACCTCATCTTCTCACAATCCTTATAATGTGGGGCACATACATTCAACCTTGACACAGTTGCCTACAAGTGCATACGTACATAGATACAGACTGTATATGTATGGTTAAATTTGGGCGTTTGTGGCGTTCTCCCATTGCAATTCACCCCAAAGCTAAATTCACCTGAATTCACCACACTTCGAATAGCATTCGACGCTCAAAAGTGACGTTGGCTGTTTGCATCTGTATCTATGTATATACATATGTATGTAGCTACTCTATAGGCTTGTGTGTATGTGCCAGAGTATGTAAGCAATTGATTAACTTGAACTTGACAATGCAAGTATCCCAATAACAACAACATATTTATGCATGTATGCATGCACATATTTACATATGTGCAAATGTGTTAACCTTTTTGGCTAATTGGCAGTTGTTATTTATCTTTGATCGTAAGTAGAAACTTGGCACTTGTTTAGTTGAAGAGAATATTTTGCTCTCTTACATCCCTTTTCCATTGCAATCGTGATCCTGAGCCAGTTCTCTCAACGCAGAGAAAATGTATGCTCTTCATAACGGTTCTTAAGCCTGTATGAGTGAATGCGAATGACAAGAAGTAAAAGACAGCTGTTGTAGGCTTACTGTTGTGTACAGCACCGTGCCCGGTTATTGACAAAGTTCCATCACATTTTTTAACAGAGCGAACGCGCTTTTACATGAATCTGTCAGATAACATAAATCCACTTTTGGATTTAATGAAAATATTATTTCAAGTCTAAGATACTTAAATCGCTTTAATGGGCTTGCAGCTGTTTATCATATATTAAATATTATATTTTCACATTTTTCGCGTTCATTAAACTTTAGCTAGTCGAAAATAAAGAGAAAAGCAAAGCAACAGAAACCGCACGGAGGTTAAACAGTTTAAATGTCTGCTATGAAAATACATGCAAATGTACATATGTATGTATGAACACATCCATGTTTGTATGTACCCAGATATCACTCAAGGCCAAAAACGCTTGTTGAATGTTTTGCGGTTTAAAAATAAAGTACATATATTAATAAAAACAAATTATTAAATTTACTGATGAAAATCACGAATATTGTTAAGTAGGCAATTTATGATAATATTTTCTATGGCTATTAAATAAATATGTATATATTTAATTGTTGTAGCTGTTGTCAGCACAAGGAGCTGCTAGTGTTTCTTTACTTTCGCTTAGATTTTTAGTCGCTGCTTGTTAGATCAATACTTTTGCACCCATTCAAAAATATTTTGATTGAAGTGTTTTTTAATGGGCTCCACCGCCAAGTTCAGTTCGTTGCACCCACCTGCCGGCGAAAATGGAAATACGTACGTCACTTTTCAAGACGTATTAGGTGCATATTATATATTTAAATGTTATATGTAACTGGTTTATTGAGGCAAAAACAAATAATAAATTAGCAAGGTAGTTTCATTAACCTCTTGGACACATGTCAATGCTCTGAGAATATTTCACAAGTTGAAATTTCGATTAAAGCCAGAAGTTAAAAATATATTTTCTTCTGAAATGACTTATACTAACAATGAAATTGGCACGCGTGACCAAATACATAGAAGAGAAAGGCTACAGGTTCAAGGACAAGTGTCCAGCAATGGCATTCAACTCGCTCTGTATCTGTCAATTGCTGGCGCTCTCTTCTCTGCTCTCCACGGTAAATTGTTTGACAAATGCTGTGTTCATTTGGCAAACATTCATTGTGCAAAAGAGAAAATGAGGTTTTTTTATTATTATTATTTTTAATTTTGTTTTAGTCACTTGCGATATTTTTATCAAATATACATACATATTTAAATGTACTTACACAAACATATGTATACATTGCTAAGGTTTGTTTGCACGCAATTTTATTAAAATTATTCCTTGCTCCAGTGTGCGAATGTCGTCTGGACGCATCAGTGTAACTGTAAATTGCCAAAATGCGAGACAGGGCCAATGAACCGTTTGGCCATAGTCATCTCCATCGAGAGAGAGAGAGAGACTGAGAGAGTTGGTTAGCAAAATGCCTTTGATTGGCTGCTGCAAATTCTTATGCTCTCCTTTTATATACGTTTAGCGTTCTCAGTGGGCCAGCCACCTGCTGCAACGACGCCCGTCAAAGAGTGTCGTTGTTGTCGTCCTTATGACATTTTCAGGCAACTACAATCGTATATACATACATATGTACTAGTCTGCGTGTGGGTGTATGGCTGCGCGTGTATAGTAAACACACGGGTGTACACACTGCGATAAGAGTCCACTCTGTCCACAATATTTTGCTATGCTTGAATTAAGCTGCATTCTCAAGTGTCGCACGTGCTGTTCAGCAACTTAATTGAGATAATGCTAATCGAGTGCTTCAACTACATGGTAAATAATTAAGTAGTTTCATATACATACATACATAGCTGCGGTACAATAGTTGGGTATGTGAATGTAAATGAGAATGAATTATGAATATGTATGTGTTTGTTCGAATATTCTGGTTTTGTATTAACTGCCTAATTCTCATTTTGTATGCTAATCAATTTCCATTTTTCTTTTACAGTCAAACTTTATAGCGATGAGCGCGTGAGCCTAAACGATTTCAAAATCATTCGCGTGCTTGGCACGGGCGGTAAGCATCAAAGAACCTACTAAAATGACATCAGATATCTAGACTTATCAATTTTTTTTCTCTTTAATTTCTTTTTAGCCTATGGACGCGTTTTCTTGGTTCGTAAGTTGACCAGGCACGATGCAGGCAAGCTGTATGCGATGAAGGTTCTCAATAAGATAACCGTAGTGCAGAAGCGCAAGACGGCAGAGCACACAAAAACGGAGCGAGTGGTAAGTACATAAAAAGAAAATGCAGAAAAGAGAAATTAAAAGCCAAGTGCATGAATCAGAAAAAACAAGAATGAGCCCATACAGAGTTGCGAAACGTGTCCAAATCAAAGTTTTTTCTTCAGCATGATCAGCGCAGCTAATTGAAATAAAAAGCCTTCAGTTGTTGCACGTACACGAAATAAGGTAGAGAGAAAAGAGAATAAAAAGTGGCGGCAGTCAAAAACGAAGTAAGAATCCAAACGCGCTGGTTACACATATGTACATACATACATTATACATACTCTCAAGCATAAGCTTGCTCAGCACTCGCTCAACTTGTTGCACCGGCAAAAAGCTAACGGGGATTGTCAAAGATAGTGGGCTGACCGAGAGAGTTGAAAGAGAGCAAGCTGATCCAGCGTGTGTATATGTGCATGCTTATTATTTTGGGTGTGTATGTGTGTGTATGCAATCCACAACCGGTTAGCGGCATTGAAAATAGA